AAGCCCAGGACATTTTTTTCCCAAGCAAAGCTTCACAGGGCTTCCTATTCTGAATTCACACATGCTAATAATGCAATTACACATCTTGTTTGTTGCCACTGCCTAATTATAAAATATAATTTTTCCTCTCCTAACAGAGAGGAGGAAGTATAAATATTGTTATAAACATAAATCTTGATCGTGCAGATGGATAAAACTAAAGCTGACGCTGCTGTTGTGGGAAGACAACTTATCATAACAAAAAAAAGCAGTAAACTAAAGTGGAAGATTGAGATGTGTTGTAACATTATGAAAACAAAGGAAATCCTTTGAGGAGGCCAGTGATTCTGAAGGGATTTGGCACAAGTCTGACTAGGATTGGTCCTGATTCCCTGGTGCAGCCAAAATTCTCTCTGAAAATGATTTTTGCCATGTATACTGTATTAAAAAGTCTTCTAAAACAGGTTTGGGTTTTTTTGGGCAGGGGTTTTTTGGGCAGAGTTTTTTTTCTCTGTTTGTTTGCTTTTGGCAGGTTTTTTGGTCAAGCTTTTATGATTTCAAAATGAAAATGAAATTAAATATAAAAATGAAAATGCCAAGGCCAAGTCTTAAAAAACTGTAAGCCAGTTTTCCCTTCCACACATTATGTTGTAGTGAATAACATTTGACAAATGCTCTTTCTGATTTCTACACCTCCTTCATTCTGTTCATCAATAATTGTAAAATGAAATCTTATAATTTTATCAGGGATTAATTCATTCATAACTGTGATTAGACATCATCTTGTTAACTGCAGAATAAAGCCAGGAAAAGTCATCTGGCTTCCAAGAGAAGAAGCTGTGTTGCTCATACAAGTATCTCTAATAATATTTACTCAGAAATGTACATACTGGCAAAGAAAAACGCAAAACGTTTTCATTTCTGCATGTTTGTCCCAGGCTGAAAGTCCCTCTTTAATTACTTGCTCCAGCCAAATCCCTGCCAAAAAAACGGTGGGGAAGGAGGGGGAGCGGGCACACAGGGGAGAGCTATTTTAAGAAGTAAGAAAATGTTTTCAAAACTCTTTTCCTATTGTTGTTTTGCCATGATTTTGCTCCTTGAGAGACTCCCAGGTAGGATGGGCTCTTTGCCATCCTTTGAGAGTTGGGTGTCGAGAATGTGTGTACTGCAAGGAGGAGTCTCACTCCAGCTACAGCCTTGTGCTTCCTTCTCTTTCCTTGCTCCTAGAGACTCCAGAAACCTTTCTAGGTCTTGCCAGGTCTTCCTCCTACAGTCTGTGCTAAATTACCAAGGCTGGGCAGATGCTGCAAAGCCCCTCAGTGCCACCAAAATTCCAAGGTTGTGGAGCTCCGTGGATCCATTTGGGTTTCCAGTAACGGTCTGTTCCCTTTAACGTGATTTTGACAGGCTGCATATTGTTCCTTTTTGTACAACCTGTACTTTTAGAAGGAGTAAGGTATTTGTGGGTGTCTGGCAAAGGGATCTCCAAATTCCAGCCAGGATGTAAACAAAATACAGCTCTTCAATAAAATTCAATAAATATTGGCCAATATAAACCTGCAAAAAATATCAGACCGTGCCATGCAACATTAAACCTTGTGAACTGCTCAGATCCCTCACCTCGAGCCTTTTTCAAAGGCATCAGAAAAAGTACAGTCTAATGTACACAAATACACAGGGACTGTGTTAGGATGGTATGTGGAGGCCAATTTGTGTATTTGCTCCATATTTTAGAGAGCAACTTTTGAATCTCTCTGTGCTTTTGTAAGATCTAGTCTCTAAACTCCAATTGTATTGTCAACGGTGTTTTCTTTGGAAAATAAACTGCCTTGGCTGAATTTGGAACTGCTCCCGAATTCCGTTCACTTCCTGACAAATGGCAGCAGAAAATTTAGACCAGCTAACATAAACATTAGCATCTGTGTCCATAGAGAGGAGCTAAGTATAATAATGCTGGGTGGGTGGACATCACTCAAATAATTCTGTAGACCACTTAAATACTAGAATCCACTGTTCTTTATTTATACATCTCTAGAAGGTGGCTCATCTGAAAAATCCAGCTAGGCTGTAGGGCAGCGCTGCTCCAGTGGCGCTTGCCTAATTCCAGATGAGAAGTATATTTTTCCCAGACCCCATGGAAGCTTTATAACTGGGATATATCCAAAATTCCTATGGGAAAGCTTGCATTTCTGGCGATATTCTTACTTTTTGAAGGAGTAGCTTGTGGTGCACAGGTAGGGTCCCCAGCTGGGGGGTATATGAAGAGCCAGGCAGAGCCAGAGATGACACTGCCTTCCCTTCTCTGGATACTGACAGGATTATCCATCAGACAGTGCTAATATCTCACTGCTCTGGTCTGCTAGAGTGAAAGGTAGGCAGTGGTGTGGCAGGAACATCAGAGCTGGAGTTCATGTCTCCAAACATAATATAGACAGTTAATTCACATGGAGTTCAAAACGCAATAATTAGATGACTAAGTACCATAGAGCCATAACTGGGCTCTCATGTTTATTATTTGCATTTCTTAGCCATCTTTATCTTTTTATACCATTGAAGAGTAAGAAAGAAAAATAAAAGCAATTTCTTCTCTCTCTCTCTCTTTTTTTTTTTTTTTAATTTTCTATTTATTACCAAGCAGATATTTTGTCTGTTTTTTAGGGAAGGGTCCCCACATAAAAATTATTTGGGCAGATGTTCTTCTGTCTTTCTCTGCAGCCAGATTTTTTTCCCTTACCCACAATTTTTTCATTCAGTTAATGCAGTAGGGATGATACAATGCAAGGCCCTGGTAAGAAAAGGTGAAAATAAACTACACTGGTGCCTCTGCTCACTGTTTTCACTCATCTAATTCTGTTTTGATATGCAAATCAAAGATGGGTTCAAGCAAGTGTCCTGGAAATGTTTTAGTTCCCTTGAAGTTTTATCATGGCTGACAGGAATTTGAGAAGTTCTGACATTTCCATACAGCCTGGAGGCCTGTCAAAGTTATTCTAGGTAAACTAATGGACATTTGGCATGTCCCATGTTTCAGGTAGACCATATGCACATGGAGCAGGGACCACCCTCACCAACACTTGCTGGGATGCACCTCATAATTTTCAAGGCAGAAATTCCTTGAATGCCTTTCAATGCCTTCAGAATGGAATAAAGGGGAAGAGACCAGAGGAGTGGTCCTGTGGGGATCCACAGGAGGGACTAGTTGACTCCAGTCTGAAGCAGTAAGTCAAAGCAGGAGTTACTAGCACATTGTCCCCAGACTGACAAACTTCTCTACGCTGCTGTGACTCCCTGAGCCTGCTGGCTATTGTTGCCAGTGTTTCTGTGGGAGAGAGCTCTCTATTCATACTCTGCTTTATGTCCTTCTTTAGGACATGAACTCGTTCCAAACCAATCTTCCATACAACGCACAAGCCACTTCTTCAAATGCCTTTCAAGAGATAAGAAGCAAGTGTCAGATGCCAACACTGAGCTCTTCCTTCTTTACAGTCCAAAGACTCCAAAGACTTTACAAGTGAACACTAATAAATGCAGTCTGGGGAAGGATGTACTGAGCTAAAGAATATTTCAGAGAGGAACGAAACTACTATACTGAAGATGCTTCCCTCACCTTCTTACATCAGACACCAGCTTTTAGAAGTTATAACTGTGGGTCCAAAGCTATGGGCTGGATCCCCAGCTATGATGAGTTTGAGTAGTTGGATTGAGTCAATGAAGGTACATCCATAGAAACCAGCTGAATATCTGGTCCACCATTTAATGCATTGGTGAAATCAACTGAAGTGACAAATGAAGTTATAGAGACACCTCACTAAACAACATCTCAATGATGAGAATTTTCAATAACAGAGCTCATCCCTCACCACTGCAAACTGCTTTTCTGTATTTTCCCTTTAAGCTGCTCTGCACTGAGATGACTTCAGCTTTTTTTTTTATACAGAATCAATAAATTCCTTGAACCAACACTGCTAATGAAACGACCTTGGATCTTTGTTTTATGATACATCATAAGTATTTCCAAAATAAATCAGGCCATAAGGTTTGAGAGAGTTACATAGTTACAAAAGTTTGGGCAAATCTGCCAGGCCTAAATGTATTATTTTTGAGTAATCATCCTCATACAGCATAACAGCAGCAGCAAGAGCAGTGACTGAAGAAAAGAGGAAAACTATTTAACCTTCCTATGAGTAGTAAGAACTGTGAGTGAACTAATTTGTGGTGGTTTCCTACTGAGGAGCAGAAAGTCACTAAAAAATATCTTGTAAGGAAGAATAAAAAATAACTCCTTTCAGGAGAAAATTGAAGTTTGGAGGTTTGCAATTCAGGAGGATTTACAGTTTGCAAAGATCTTGGGGTAGATAACTGAGTCTCAGAAATTTATGCCAACAGTTTTAGAGGAAGACTGGGGGTTGGGTTAGACAACCTTTAAAGGACCCTTCCAACTCAAACCATTCTATGATTCTATGAATCTAAGATTACTGCTATCACAGAAGGGGGCTGACAGCCAGCTGCCCACATAGTTTTCCCACCAAGAAATCAGAGAGACAATTTAAAAGGTATGCACTGTTCAGAAAGGTATATTTATTTACTAATTTTGGCACATAGTTCTGCTTTTGCCTGCTTTGCCTCCTCCTAAATTCTTTGTTTCAAAGTGAAAACAGATGAGACACTGAGTTTCATCTAATTTTCTGAGATTTTGAGTGGACCTGAGAAGCTGTTTGCTAGTGATTGCTACAGTGAGCTCTTGATGGCACCACAGAAGCTTGGTAGAATGGCTATAAATGAACTCCATATCTCTTTATCCCTTGCATAAACTTTGCCTACCAGCAAGTGTACCTAAATAAAAGAATCACGGACCTACTGACACTGGGATGTACCTCTGGAGATCACCTAGTCCAAACTCCTGCTGCCCAGGAACACATTGAATCATGTTTCAAATATCACTGAGGACGGAGACTCCATTGACCTCTCTGGGAAATCTGTGCCTGTGCTCAATCTCTTTTACAGTAAAACCATTTCTGTCCTATGTTTAAGTGGTTTTATTTTTTTTCTTTATATTGCAATTTGTGTTCATTGCCTCTTGCCCACCACTGGACAGCCCAGAAGAGAGTCTGGTTCTCACCTCCCTGGACCTGCTGGCAACACTCCTCCTCCTGCAACCCAGGGCATCATTGTCATCTGTTGCTGCAAGTGCACGTTGCTGACTCATGTTCGTCTTGTCAAAGCATGATCCCCAAGTCCTTTCCTGCAAAGCTTCTGTTCATTTGACCAGCCCACAGGCTGAACTGGTGCATGGGACCATTCTCCCTCAGGTGTAGGACTTTGTAATTCCCTTTGTTAAACTTCATCAGAATCTTGTCAGCCCATTTCTCCAGCCTAAGGTCCCTCTGGACATAAGTACAATCACTTGGTGTATCAGTCGCTCCTCCCAGCTTTGTAACATCCGCAAACTTGTGGAGGATCATCCTGCCCCATCATCCAGCTGTTGAAGAGTATGGATCCAGTATCAACCCCCGAGGTACACGACTTGTGTCTGCCTCCAGGTGGGCTTTGTGCCCCTGACCAAAACACTTCGAGCTCAGTTGTCAGTTTTCAATTCACTGCACTGTCCACTGCCCTGGTCTGTTTGCTGAGGAAATTCCACCACGTTCCACAAATTATGCCACCATCAACAGGACTCAGTTCCAGGCTCCTCTTGAAGAAGGTGAGTCGCCAACCTGCTGAGTAAATCAGGGGCTTATTTATTCAATAAACAGAGCAGCTTGAGCTGGGAGCCTCTGAAGAGACATCCCAAACAGAAATACCCCTGGGCAATTATACCCTTGCAATCTAAATTACCCACCCTCCCACAGGTCTGACCAGGAGTTATATTAGGGTCTAGGGTCTTCCTTTTCTTCACTGGGTCCCTTCACTGTCTCTAGTCAGGCTGTTCCTTCTCTTACCTCCAAAGCTGTAGCATCAGCTGATGGTTGCATCAACCTTTCTTGATTCCTTATCTTCCAACTTGAACTGGCTCTGGGGCTTTTTTTGATTTAATTAAAGCTTAACTAAAGCTGTTAACTTCCATCCAGATATGCTGAACTTTTACCTAGTTAAGAGCCTAAGACTGCAGCAAATTTAGCTACTAAAGCTAAGCATGTTATGCTAAACAAGTTCTACATAAGTAGTATACCAAATTGCACAACACTCTTCCTGAGGATATTATGGGAGTTATGGTGGACATCACCCAGTTGAACATCTTCATGTGGGAAAATTTTATGATATTAAAAAGACTGAGGGCCATTGCAGCACCAGAGATGTCTCTTGCACTTTTTTCCATGAAACATTATTTTTGTGAATTTGAGTCTTTTGTGGTGAATTGTTTGGCTTGGTTAGGTATGTTCAAATGTTTTATGACCTGTGGAATGTGGGTATTTGTGATGCAATCATTCTGTGAGTGCAGTCTTCACAGAATGTATCTGCATCCAGTTCAGGGAGCTGGCACTACCAGATGTATGTTAACCTCTTCCAGGAGCAGTGCTACTTAGATGACAATTCTGGGAAATTTGGAAGGTATGTTGCTATGCCAAACTGGTGAGTACTCTGTTTTTACAATAAGATGTGTAAATGTCTTCCATAAAATAGATTTACAATGTTTTTCCAGGAAAATCCAACATAAATATTTGGTTAAGAAGTTTTATTCCTGGAATAAAGATTTCAAAAGCTAAAATGAAAATACTGTCACTTCCATAATGATGAGAAAAGTCACTTGTGCCAGCAGCCACTGCACTCCCCTGCAATCCAGTCTAGCATTCTCATCTTCTAATTACTCCTAAGTATTTGCAACAAGCTATTTATTTGGAATGCCATACAGGTACCACAGAGAGTAGGAAATCAAATTACAAAACAACAACAACAAAAAAAGACATCATTAACAAGCAGCTGCTCCTGAAGCAACATTAGAATTAGGTATGTATTTCAGCATAAACAGCTTAGTGATTAGGTTACTGCCCTGGATTATACCTCACTGTCTTTTGGGCAGAGGGATGAAAGGAGCCAGCCAGATATTTATTTTTGTTTATATGGAGCAACTATTCAACAGAAATGAAAAATAGAACAATTGTGTCTGTATAGCTTCATCCCAAAAATCTCATGTTTGTTCTGCTAGGCTTTCTAAAGCAATAAAACCTAAAATTAAAATGCCATTTGCAATAAAAATAGTATGAGAAATTCCATCTTTTTTTCCCCAGTTGTAGACAGGAAAAATATATTTCTTGTCGTAATCAATAGTTTTTAGATCCCTGACTTACCTTCTTGCCTCCCGGCCCCAAACAGAATGCTGCCATATGCTGAATTTACAGCCTCTCTGCACAAAAGCACTCTGTGACTATTATTATGCCCATAAAAAACATGTCCCAAAAAAAAAAAATCAACAAAGGTGGAGATTTAAAAACAAACAAAATTAACCAGGAAAATCAGGTGATCACACTGTCCCTGTAAACCAAATCTGGCAAAGGAGCAAGAATCTAAAATCTGCGGGAATAAGTAGCTGGAAAAAGTAAGGACAGCCTCTCAGGAACCCACTGGAAGAACAGCTGTGAGTTCCTACAAGACCTTAGAGAACCAACACACTGGGGACACAACTCCAAAAGAAGCCTCAAATTTTGCACTCTGTTAACACCAGAGAACCCCACTCTGAAATAAAGGTACAGGAAATCACATTTCATTAGTCCTGTTGTTCATGAAGGAACATGAGTTGTTGTTTGGTTTACTTTTCAGAGATATTAAAGTTGCAGGTTGGCAGGAAAGAGGTGGATTTGACAGGCAAGGGAGAAGGCTCTACAAGAAGGGGTCCAGAGAAGTCCTGAAAGGATGGAGCAACTGAAACAAAACACCAAATCACGGCAGCCTGTTGGCAGAGGGAACACTCCCTGCATGACTGCTGCACAAATGGAAAAGATGTTCAGTGAGGAAAAGAATACAAGTTTGTAAATTGTACTGATTTTTCGAGAAGATGGCAGTTAAAATGATGTTTGACAGAGAGTCTGTCACGAAGAGAAGCTATTGCAAGCTTCCCACTAAGCACAACTCTGTCTTATACAAAAGGAATTGTTATGTGCAAGGAAAACTATAGTGTCCCACTGTTTGTACTATGCAGGAAGCAAACATAGAAGCAGTTCTGTTTTCCATATTCTTGCGTAACCTTAACAAAGCTGGCTGCATCTTAAAAGTTAAAGGAGCTATCAGTGAAGTACTTTTCCCAGTTTAGCAATTCAGAAAATTATAGTGTGTATCTGATAGAGAAAAATGTGCTTTCTTCACCATCTTCATCTTTTACCAAACTATTGTGTCCACATTCCTTTAGTTCCCAAACTCTGACAATAGTTCTAATGAAATCCCCCAGTCATAAAATCACAGAATGGTTTGGGTTGAAAAGAACCTTTGAAAATCACCTAGTCCAACACCCCTACCGTGGGCAGGGATATATTTCACTCAATCAAGTTGCTCAAAGCTCCATGAGCAAAGCAGGTGCAGATCCCTCAGTAAAGAGGCATGGCATGGAGTGAGAGAAAGCTTTGGCTTTATTGCAAGACTAGTATTGCCACTGTGGCAGTCCTAGGAACCTATGCTAGATAAAATGGTGTCCCAACTCTTCTTGGGGTGTGAAAAAAGTTTTATTACAAACAGAGATGGGTAATAAAACTTGGAAAATAATTAATATATCATACTTATTGAATGCCTTGGTTTGCTCATTAGCAGACTTGCTGATCTAATGCAGATGCTGTTGTCTAAATTCCAAGATCTGCAGCTGGCTGTCACACCGGCACACATGCACCCCCCAGATGGGGGGAAATTACTTGTCCTGAGTTACTGTGACAAGATAAGATGCACTTGGGATTCCAAATCATCCATGCCAAAGTCTTCTCGTTCCCTACAGCTCATCCAGCCTGGCTTTGAACACTTTCAGGGATGGGGCACCACAACTTCACTAACCCTAACCCTTTTCTTCTCCAGGCTGAACAATCCCAGCTCTCCCAGACTTTCCTCACAGCAGAGCTGCTCCAGCCCTCTGATCATCTTGGTGCCTCCTCTGGACTCGCTCCAACAGCTCCATGTCCTTGCTGTGCTGGGCCCCCAGAGCTGGAGGCAGCACTGCAGGGGGGTCTCCCCAGAGTGGGGCAGAGGGGCAGAATCCCCCCCTGCCCTGCTGCCCACACTGCTTTGGGTGCAGCCCAGGGCATGGGGGGTTTCTGCGCTGGGCCATGTCCAGCCTCTCACCCACCAGCACTCCCAAGTCATTCTCCCCAGGGCTGCTCACAGTAATTTCATCTCTCGCTCTGTGCTGATACTGGGAATTACCTTGATCCAGGTGCAGGATCTTGCACTTGAGTCAAGGATTTTGCACTTGGCCTTGCTGAACTTCAGTGAGGTTTCCATGGGCCAGCTCCTCATGGCCATCAAAGTCCTTACGGATGGCACCCTTCCCTCTGGTGAAGCAGCTGCTCCATTCAGCCTCGTGTCATCTACTAACTTGCTGTAGATACATTCAATCCCACTGCAGTTAAGAAGTTAATCTTAACTGCTTCCTCTGCACTATTTCCACATCTGACATCAATGACATGTTATCTAAACAGTTTTGATGTCTATGCCAATTGATTTATATTGTTGATATTACTGTACATCTCCATTTTATGAATAAGCTTGTCTGTCAAAGCGTCTCATTCTTTGTACTTGCTCTTATTTTCCTTTTTAGTGTCCAAGTTATGGTGCATTATCCAGGTAGGCTGTATTTTAAAAGATGGGATATGACCCCATATGCCATTGATGAAGGTATTAAATAGGTCCCAGTATAGACTCTTAAAAGGCACCACTCATCAACTGTTTTCCAGCAAGACATTGAGCCATTGACTGTAACTCTTTGGACATGGCCATACAGCCAGTTGTTTATCCACCCAACAGTCCATTCTCAAACACATCTCTCTCCAATTCAGCGATAAGAATGTTGTGGGGGACCTTACAGAGATCCAGGTAGATGACATCCATAGCTCTTCCCTTGTCCAGTCACGCAGCCACTGCTGTAGAAGGCCACTAAGTTAGGCACAATTTTCCCATGTTATCTGTCTCTGTCTTGAGTATGTTTCGACATATCTTCCAGGAGGATCTGCCCCAGAACCTTAGTAGACACTGATATGAGACTGACTGTGTTGAAGCCAGTCTCCTTACTTTGTACATATATTAACTGAGATACCCACATTATGCCTGTGTATTACCTTTGCCTGAGCTTCTTCAGCTTCCAAGATCAGCCAAAGCCCGTGAGGTCCCCGTAGTTCCACACAAGTCACTGACTGACCCGTCAGGGCAAAGCAGCAACACCGTGTCTGTCCCAGATGACAAAGCAAAGCAGCTGCATTGACCCACAGGTACAGCTGGGGAAATGAGGTGCTTTGGGCTTGAGACAGCACAGCAGGAACTTGTATCACCTGGACAATATGAATAAAGGAGGTAAAGTAGCCCTAAAGGTAAGTAACCCCTTTCCTCCATGATGTGTAAGAAGGTGTTAACAATGCACTTCTCCTAGTGCTGACCTGGCATGTCGGCTCTGGATAGAAAGTGAAGACCAATGATGTTTGCAATCATTCTGTATAATACCTGGAAGAAGCAAGCCAACATTTAACACAGCTTTTTTCCCAAAGTGTGGCAAATGACAGTCTGTGGTATTCCTGGTTTGAGCTCCAAAGCTGAGTGCTCCTTTGCTTGAAAGCATTTGATCCTAAAGAAGATATAGAAGTGTTCAATTTAAGACTTTATCTCTCTTGTAGTAAGCTCTGAGCAATCATACTTCAAAGTTTAAATTGCAAAATTCAGGGACTTGGTTGCCTCAAAGAATATTCACTTAGCTACCTATGGTGCTGGTAAAAAACCCACAGACAAGTGCTGAGGAGATGTCAGCTACAAGGCACATGCTAGATCCTAATTCTGAGCTGAGCGGTTTCATTAGTAGAAGACAGGATAATGTGCTTTTTTGTAAGTACCATGCAAATTGTAATTGAAAAAATCAACCCCAAACTCACTAGGAGCCTCATCACTAGTAGTTTGCAGGTAGTAATAACATGAGCCACATCACAAGAAGCGTTGTCTCCCGCACTGCACATTCTCTGCCCTTGCCCCTGAGGCTGAGCCCTGAGCTGGGGCTGTTGCCAACTCAGACCCTTTGTGTGGTGCTGCAAACCACATCCGTGTGGAGTTTTAGGTGGGAGACATGGGACATAACAGTTTTTGCTCTGAAGTTAATTTCTTTTACTTAGGTGTTTGGAGAGTAATGGAGACCAGTGGGCATGCTGAGTAGTCTTTAATTTGTGCTGCTAGAAAGCATTTCCCTGCTTTTTTGCTATGATGCTCCATGTGCCATACTGAGGTGGTCCCGGGGGAGGCCTGACCACCTCCACTTAATGTAAGACATAGAGATCAGTCAGACTCTGGGCTCTCACTTCTGGATGACTGTGATCACTTTTTGTAAAGGCTGTGGGAGAGACCTGCTGTCTGGTGTGCATTTGTGGCAATGCTCCTCTCTCTGTGGTGGGTTGACCCTGGCTGGATGTCACATGCCCACCAAGGCTGCTCTGTTGCTCAGCTGGACAGAGGAGAGAATGAAGGGCTTGTGGGTTGAAGGAAGGGCGTGGAAGAAATCATTCATCAGCTACTGTCATAGGCAAAACCGAGTAAAACCCAGGAAATTAGTTTAATTCATTACCAATCAAATCAGATTAGGACACCAACAAATAAAATCAAGTCTTATAAACACCTTACTCCCACCCCTCCCTTTTTTCCAGGCTCAGCTTCACTCCTGCCTCCAGCAGTATAGGGGGATAAGGAAAGAGCACTGTGGTCAGTTCATCACCTCACACTCTTCTGCTCCAGTGCAGGGTCTCTCCCAAGGGAGATGGTCCTCCACAGACTTCTCCAACATGAGTCCTTCCCATGAGCTGAAGTTCTTCACAAGCTGCTCCAGCATGAGTCCCTTCCACAGAGTGCAGTCCTTCAGGAATAGGCTGCTCCAGCACGGGTCCCTCCCATGGGACCAGAAGCTCTGTCAGCAAATCTGCTCCAGCCTAGGCTTCTTTTTCCACAGCTCCTGCCAGGAGCCTGCTCCAGTGTGAGATTCCCATAGGGTCACAGCCTCCTTCAGGCATGCACCTGCTTCAGCGTGGGCTCTTCTGGGGGCTGCAGGTGGATCTCTGCACCTCCATGGACCTTCCTGGGCTGCAGGGGCACAGCTGCCTCACCACGGTCTCACCACGAGCTGCAGGGGAATCTCTGTTCCAGCGCCTGGAGCGCCACCTGACCCTCCTTCCTCCCTGACCTGGGGGTCTGCAGGGCTGTTTCTCTCACATATTCTCTCTCCTCTCTCCAGCTGCAATTGCTGTTGCACAGCAATTTTTTTCCCTTCTTAAATATGTCATCCCACTATTCCTGACGGGCTCATCCTTGGCCAGCAGTGGGTCCAAGCTGGAGCTGGCTGGCGTTGGCTCTGTTGGACACAGGGGAAGCTTCAAGCACCTGTGGTCCCCCCACTACCAAAACCTTGCCATGCAAACCCAATGCAATCCAGCCTAAAGGCACCAGGTTTCTTTGGCAAACTGGGTGCCCCTGGTGAGTGCTAGGAGTCAGAGTGGAGTCTGCTCATGCTGACTTAAGAGTGTGTCTCTGCTGAGCTGGACACACACCTCTACCCTGATGACTCTGGAAATGAGATAACTGCAGAAAGACAAGGTGTGAGAGAGAGAGACAATTAAACATTCAAAATAAATAGAGATATAGTGGCCTATTTTTTTTTTTTTTGGTAGTTGACAGCACCTCTGTTGTGCTGGTACACCCAACACAATGCCTGGTTGTGATGTGAAGGGATGTAAAAATCTCTAGCTGGACATATGGGTTTCATCAGATTTTGTGGCTTTTTGTTTTGTTTTACATCTTAGTTTTTTTCTCCTGTTTTTTTTTTTTACCCAAGTAACCATTGCTGGGCTATGAATTAATGACAGATGTACTTGTTTATGCAGACTCTGACTATGATTTAATATCTATTATTTTTATAGCTCCTCAAGGCATCAGGGTCAGGACTCTTCTTTC